CAATTAGAATAAAAGACTCCAAACATATAAATTCCCAATTGTTTCATAAATGGCATTCTGCAAGAAAAATTACATATGGACTTGTTGATCGACAATCAAATCAGAACTGAAACACTTGCTAATCAACTCACAGTATACCATGGTAACTGTTATGATGCAAAAAGGGGAGGCAAATATTAACAGCATTTAGAAATTTTAAGACATTAAATTCCAGCTAAATGTAAAACTCATCATGAAATCATAGATAATACAAGCATGACAGTGATGTGTAAGTTTCCTCGCATACTCAAGAACAAAAGAGGTGCCTGTACCTTTGCTCCTCAAAGTTGGCAGGACCAACCCATTGTTCTTCATATACAGCAACCCTTAGTATCTGGATGTCTGCGCCACCATTGCTAAATTCAATAGTATGGACAATACGCAGTCTCTTGTGGCATCCCTTAACTAAACACTAAGAAAGAAAACAAAATTTAAACCCTTTAGACAATCAATCAAATATTATTCAGGGAAGCATTGTTTTAAAGAACACGATAAATCTTGGAGCATCTAGAGTAAAGGTTGACCGATGAACATGAGTATTCTAATAGAGGTACTATTGTTAGTACCAAATTACCAATCATAATAGATGCCCATAAACTTTATCAAGCAATGCATTTCTTCACAGCATAATACCATAGGGGCATATAATTTGACATCAAGATTATATACTCCAAGAATCAAATGTAAATATCTTTAAAATGCTATATACTACCATATCAACCGATCCCAAGAGAGAATGAAAAAATCCATGAGTGCTATATGAATTGGGGTTCTGAATTCATGAGATCGAATTCTAATGGTCAAAAGGGGGAAAAGCTTCAAGAAAATGCTGGAACCTCTATAGTTGTGGGATTGAACTCAAAACAGAACTCAAATGGTAAGGCTGCTGTTCTGAACGATAGAGTTAAGGACGAGGAAAATGATAGCGACATTGATAGGAAGGCCGACGAGTTCATTGCCAAGTTTAAGCAGCAAATTAGACAACAAAAAGTTGCTCCAAGGAGTGACTCAAGCAGACAACATAAAAAATCTTTGTATCAAACTTAAAGTTTGATTAGTCTGCATAAATCCCTTTTCATTTCTATGTTTTTGCACTCTTCTTGCACTATACTGATCAGATCACATGTGAAGCTTATGTATCATTGTTACATTTTACTGTGTAACTTCATTATATGGCAGCTACGAAGTAATTCCTTTGATGTAATATATAGTATGTTTTGGCCTTAATTCACTGTTACAAAAACATAGCAGCTAAATGTAGAAGAGAAAAGCAAACAAACATTGGGTAAATAGTTACGACAACTACCAGTTTAGTTTTGTAAAAATTCTAATTTTTTATTCTTCGAAATTAAAATCAGTTTTATCTGGAGCACATATGCTTTACATTTTATAAATTTAAACTTTCTAATTCCAAATGAAGTTTCCTTCACTAATTAACATGTTAAAAAAAATACAAGACTCCAACCAAGGGGTGACCAAGCCCTTATGAACACCTTCAAGGATTTTCTTTCTGTAATTTACGAAGTACGAAATTAATGCTACAATGAGTTAATGACTACAAGATCAAGAAGTCATCAGTTGGGACCAAGAAAACATGGTTCTTTGTTTTCAATCCAGTTCCAGGAAAAAGGAACCTCTGTTTTCAATCCAGAAGGACCGAAACTAGTATGATATAAACTAGTATGATACAACCAACTTTTACAACAAAGCAACAAGGTCTACATGACATCACATTTCACAAAAGTATTTCATAGAATCAGAACCTACTTGCTCAAACTTGTATGTTGGTGAAAGATAGTACTCAGACTCATCAATGTCACCAACTGGAATGTCAACTGGTCCTCTAGAATAAGATCCATCCTGCGGAGGAAAAAAATATCATAGAACTTATCAGCCAGTAGTAGGTAAGAGCAAGAAAAAGGAGTACTGTTCTCCTGTAAAGAATCAAGCACACAGCCGCAAAAAAATACTGATAGCTAATACACTCCAAGCTAAAGGCCAATAAAACAAGCTTGCCATTCAAAGCCTACTAAGTAATACAATTTTGTAACTAAAGAGATCCATTATTGTGGACGATGAACAAATTAAAAATTTCATGCGCGTTAAAACGAGCTCTTCATTATCATGTTTCCAGTATGATATTATTCTTCAAATTAGTTATGGTCAAGCAGGGTTTCAACGTTGAAAATTAAGCATTTTCCATATGTAATGTGGACAAGCTTCTTCCAGTACCAAAATTATAGCAGCCTGTGTCAACAACTTCACACAAGGCACTGTAGACCTGTAGTAATATTATGGAGTTAAATAATATTGCAAGACCAGAAACATCAAAATATGGAGTTAAAAAGAAGAAGGCCTGGTTATAAGGAGGATTGACTCAATTGAATTCCATAATATGAATTATATAGCCTTTTAAAGGACTTCCATCAGCTGCTTCTTTAAAGCCGGGAAATAATTTCACAAAAGCAACTAAAAATTAAGGTTATGATTTTCATGTAACAAAGAGCATGTGAGGTTATGAGCAAATACGGAGGCAAGTTTCTATCAGAATTGTTACAGGCATCCCATGATCTGCAGTTCTGCACTAATCTGTTAAGTATGAAGCCTTTTTGCACTTCATCTACTGCAGTATAACATACATTGTATGTATAAAAAAAGAGGGGGGTGGGGGGGATATGGTGTAATGAGACCTACCTCAAAGAAAACAAGACCAGGTTCCAACCCCATGATATCCTCTTCCATCACATCACTCTTTGCAAAATCAAAAGACTCAAATTTCGGCAAAATATGATCTGCCTTGCCCCTATGACCTTTTTTTTTCACGCCGCCATTGTCACTGCCTCCATTTTCTTGTGCTTTCTCACCATGAGGATTTAGAGTAACCCAATTGGTTTTCCTCTGGATTTGAAATGTATTCTCTCCAGATTGCGCAGCTTGGACACGAGAAAGAGTATAGCAGTCATACAGATACTCGCTCTTACCTCCCAAGTCAACCGGCTCCATTTCAGCAGTAATTGGTGAAAAGATTGCTCCAACTCCCTTCCAAATCCCACTTAAACTACTCACAAATGTGTTCCATGCTGGTCGAATAACAGGCTCCTGAGAAAAATAACCCTCATCAGCATACATCAAATTGGTCAGCAAAAGTATCCAACAGACCAACATAAATGCCAAAGTTTGCAAGTCATGACAGCACAACACCACCAAACAGACAAGACACTCAAAGTTCATACTTTTCATAATAAATTTCTTTGTACATCTTTTAAGCCAAATAGGCAATATGACCAAATTATTTGGCCTGAAAATACTCTACTCCTGTACAAAATCCTAATCTTTGCCATGTATGCCACTTATGACTTACGAGTATCATATTACATCAGCAAAAACCCAAAAACCACATACAATTTGGTTGCTACCATACATAGAGTCAATGCAAAGTCTAAGATAAGACAGGTATATACAGCAATGGTCAAATTCACCCCATTTTCATCAAAAAATCACCCAAACAGTCTTTGAAAGTCACCCTCAACCAAAAAAGTCACCCCATATCTAGTAAAAAACACCCTATGTCATCACCTAAAATGATGCTCCCCGGTTCCTAGTTCCTACTAAGATATCTAATACACGTGCACGTGTGAGGAGGGGTGCGTATTATATAACCGAGGGTACACACACCTCACAAACCATGTGTGTGACGCACTAGCCGGCAGATTATAATGATCCTGGGAGCACGGAGGATCACGGCATAGGCATTATCTTACCTTATAACTAGATCATAATATAACAGTATAACACTTCCCCAAAACTAACAACCCTACTTCATAGTACGAAATTCATACTATTAATTCAACCAACCAAAACTTCATACAATAACAAATATTCCAATAATTTGACATCAAAATTCACAATATACTTAAAATTAGACAAAATAAATGTAATAAAACCAGTAGTACCTGAGTTTGCAAAACAGTTTCAAGCTCCATCAACATAGCACCAGAAACCATAACATTAGAACCTTTAGCAACCTTCTTTACTCTCATACCACTCTTTCCTCTTCTCCTCCTTCTCTTCCCCTTTCCTCTCTCCTTCTCTTCCGCCTCTTTCGCCACCTCATTATCGACGCTCCAAACATTATCCTTCGCCTTCGCATCAACCTTCACTCTCTCTCCTCGACAATCACTGATTTTCTCTATCCTAAGGTTAGGGTTAGAGTCGCTGAAACTGCAGGAAACCCTAGGATGATGACGATGATGTTGATTCCGGTGAGCGAAGAAAGGGGAATTAGGAATTGATTGGTGGTGGAAGTGGAGAGAGTGGTGGTGGAAGAGAGGGAATTGACGACGGCGGAGTGAAATTCCGGCGAAAGTGTTGGATACGTCGAGAATTCTCGTCGGAGTTTGCATATCGACGGTAGAATTTCGCCGGTCGAGAATAGTTATTCTAATTAATCGACCTTATCCTTAAATAAGGGAAATTGGGTCTTGCACTTTTTGGCTAAGGGCTAAAGGCTAATGGTGGTTTGGTGTCATTGGTCTAGCCTCTTAGGCAAGTATTTGGACCCTAGTTAGCAATCACTTGTACGAGTAACAATTATTTACGGTAAAAATAATTTCAGTTTAGTAAAAATAAATTCAATGCTGTAAAAATCAGTAACTTTAAAATAGAAAAATCAATAAAATAAAAATACTTTTAGTTCAACAAAAATAAGGTGAAGTGAACGTGACGGATTTCCCAATGGTGAAATTGCTAGAGGAGAGTGAGGATGTCGGTGATGATGTGGTCGATTTGTCATGGAATAGACCAAGTCCTTTTTAGAGCATTGACCACAAGGAGATTATCACCTTCAATGTGTAAATGTTGAATCCAATGCTAAATAGCAAGTAGAATGCTTTTGTGGAGAGTTGTAGCTTATGCGACGAAGACATTGGTATTGCCAAGGTTAAAGGTGCGAGCTGCAATCAAAGTACTGACATTATCTCATGGTAACACCTAATATCGTTGAATTATTTTTAAGTGATCCATTAAAATTAAGATTAAAAGAATTTGAAGGAGGGGCCTCCCGGGCGGCCTCGTGAGGAGTATAATATGGAGCACTCCATAACAATTTTTAACTACTCACCACACGTACAAAAATACTACGAAGTAAATACTTTTATTTAAAAAAAAAAAACATAAAAAGGGAAAAATTATAGGTCAAGTGGTTGAAGCAAAAACCCTCCTTGTACCCTTTGTTAGCATAACAATAACCTCCGCCTCTCTCCTCCTCTTTCAGTAAAACCTGCTCGCAGCCGACGACCAACCACCTTCTCCACTTCCGCCGCGACGACCGTCTTTCACCGTTGCTTAGCTCTGTAAACCCATTCTTGGTACCTTCATTTTCTCTCTCCTCCCCTTTTATTTTGCACTTTTAATTTCACTTTTTTTTATCAATTTATTTATCCTCCATTTTTGCTCGATAAATTCATGGAATCTCGAATTAAACTTATTTAAGCATCTAATTAATATAAGAATTCCATTTTATTTGGTTTTATCTTCGTTTATTTATGAATTTTGAATGATACAGTTGTAGAAATGTTGGAAATTAAAACAGCTAAAACTCACAGAGGTAGACGAATTCTTGAGAAACGAGCCCCTAAACTTGTAAGTTTTTATTTTATTTTTTTAATTAAATAATTACAAAAAAATTATGTTGAGATTTGCTATAATTTCCCCAATTTTTGTGTAGTATTTTGGTGGGTAATTTCTGGAATTTGTTGATTTGGGTAGGTGGAAAATGAGAAGAAGACATTGTTTGTTCATGGTACAAAAACAAGTAATGTGCTTAATTCAGTTTTAACTGAGCTATATCATCTTAAGAAGGAGAATTCAGTTAAGTATACTAGGAAGAATGACAAAATTAGGCCCTTTGAAGCTGGGGGTGAAACTAATTTGGAGTTCTTCTCTCAAAAGACTGATTGCGCCCTCTTCGTGGTGAGTACGACATTTATTCGTTTTCTATTAAATTTATGATATTGTCCCATGTTTATATAAGTTTTTTAAGTAGCTATTATACGATGTACCGTGTAAAATTGAGATTTTTGATGAAGGGAAGTTGATCGAGGAAAATGGTTGTGTAAATTGATGTGCACCTTTTCATGGGGTTGTATTGTATTAATTTTTTTTAGTGCTCATAATATGTGGTATTTGAAAATAATGATGAAAACACATGCTTGCTAGTATTGATGCACTCCAGTTAAAACTTTCTGTAAGAGGTGTGCCTTTTACTATAGATGTGTTGCTTGTGTAAGTTTCTTGGCGTACTTTTCCATGCCTATGGCATGGAATGGTACAACTCCTCCTTGCTCTTATGCTAAACTCTTTTCTTCCCAAAATTGTTTGTAGGCTTTCCACCTATTCGTCAAGTATTGGGTTGAGCATAAACTAACTAGCTAGTTGCTTGAGTATAAAACACTCATTTAAATAAATCAAACTAATCAAAGCCTTGCACTCCACAATATATATGAAAAAATATAATAATGTACAATCACATATTCCTTCGGTCACATCCATTCCATACAATGCTCTGCTTCGGCCTGGAATGAAATTAAAACTTCTGAACTTTCAGGGTGGCTCTAAAACTGTTAGCAAGAAAAAATTCCATAAAGAATATGGACCTTGCTAAATCAGCGGGCTTGGGTAATTAACCACATTGAACTGCAAGAAGGCTTTATAATCACTATCCTAGTGGTATGATTCTTTCTTGGGGGGTGTTTGCATAGTCATTTGGATTGATATTTGCCGCAAATTTTGTCCCCAACATCAAGTGGTGCAACAATTTTTGCACCCTAAATCCAGTATAATTGCAAATACCCCAAAATCCATTGTTGCAACAATTTTTGTACCCCAGAAGCCATGGACCCAGGTCCTTGATATTATCAACTTTTCATACTTTAAGACATACGAAGTATTATTCAACTTGCAAATAATTTTGTGCTATGTATCTGAAGTTTGAAACTACATTCTTATGTTGTTCGGTTAAGTATACTTTTATCGATAACAACTAACTAGTTGAGTATGTTGATACTAGTGGCATTTCCTTTTAAACGAACTGAGATAGAAGTAGTGACATTATTTTTTGGGACGGAAGTGTGAAATATAAACTTATTTCCATGCTTATCAAAACATGAGCTTAATTTCCTAAGTGCATGGCTAAAAGTTTATGTCCTTTTGTTCCAAAAGTGAATGTCATTTCTTCTGTATTTGGTCGTTCAAGAAAGAAGTGTATTACTTGTATGTCAAAATTGTAGAGCATCATGCTAATGCCTTATATGGCAATTATTGAAAGAATTCTTGCCATTGAAAAATCTCTAGATCTCAAGAATTTGTGTGCCCTAATAAAAATGAAGGACAAAGTATTCTGAAATACTTTAAATACTGGTTTAAAAGCAATTTTATGTATGTGAAGTTCAAAAAGAAGTCCTTTTGATTTGCTTAAGTGAGTCTAGTTTGGTTATTTGTGAGTGGAGTATAAAAGGATCAGCAACTTTCTTTTAGAACAAACTGATATTGACATTATTTTTGGGATGAAAGTGTGTGCTATAAACTTATTGAAGCTTAAACTTGGTTTTTTAAATGATGACTACATGTTATGACTAAACTTGCCAGTGCTGCATTGCACCTATATTAGGTCTTCAAAAAAGAAATGTAACTATTTGAAATCGTGGACAGTCACCATAATCCTATGTACTGGTAAAGATTGAAAGAATTCTTGCCAATTGAAATATTCTAAGGTCCAATGCTCTCTGTCCTCTGTAAAGTCATAGTCATAAGTTTCCCCTGTGATATTATGTCCTTTAGTTTCCGAACTTTGCCCCTTTCTCTCCAATCTCCATAGAACTAATGGAGAATTGAGAAGTGGATGTCTTTTGTTTGAGAAGTGGATGTCTGTGTTCCTTGTTTATTTTTTTTGTGTTAGTAGTGAAGCTTTATGTTGGGTGAGGCTCCTATCTTTCATGGAAAAGGTAGTTATAAAATTTAGCTATATTGTTACCTCACATTTTTATGAACTGGAGCTGAGTCATGACCAGGCTTACAGAGGACCTCTAATTTGGTATTGCTTGTTAATGTGGTTTTGCAAGACAAAAGTAGAAAATTGTTACTGATATACTCTATATTGAATAATACTTTTGTATTATTTTGCAATTACTACTGAATGCATGCTATTATCAGCTTCTAGATGTTTATTGTCACATCGACCTGCTAATTCATTTGTTTGTTTTATTGCTGTTTTGCAGTTTGGTTCTCACTCAAAAAAGCGGCCTGACAATCTTGTTATGGGGCGATTCTATGATAATCATGTCTATGACCTTGTAGAAGTTGGGGTTGAGAATTATAGATCACTCCAATCCTTCTCATATGATAAAAAGATTTCCCCGAAGATGGGGTCCAAACCTTTAATAGCTTTCATTGGTGAAGGATTTGAGAGTGTTGACGAGCTGAAGCATTTGAAGGAAATTCTCTTAGAATTGTTGAGAGGAGAGGTAATTTCTCCAAGACCTTGAATATATTTGTTATAATTAATTGTGTTTACTATGGTGGTATTATATATTTATATGTATGTTAAATACAACTGTTGCAGGTAATCGAAAATTTGAATCTTGCTGGAGTTGACCGAATTTACGTATGCACTGCTATTTCTTCAAATAGGGTGTACCTCAGTCACTGTGCTTTGAGACTAAAGAAATCTGGAACTGTTGTTCCAAGAATGGAATTGGTTGAAGTAGGCCCTTCCATGGATTTGGTAGTCAGGCGACATCGTCTTCCTAATGAAGGCTTGAGGAAAGAAGCTATGAAGACTGCCCCAGACCGCACAAAGAAGAAGGTTGGCTTTACTACATTTCCGCATCATTCTTCTGATAAGGCCTAATCGCTAAATGAAAAGAAGAAACACTAAAATCATTTTTTTTTTCCTTTTCTTTTTAATGCATTTAACTCATTTACCTTTGTGTTTATTATTTTCTTATAATGCAGTTGAAAAATGTCAAAGGAGATCCTTTACTGGGCAAGACAGGAAAGATTTACATTCCAGATCAGAAGGTTAGCTTAACTCATTTTAACATCCCTGTTATAGTGTTACATGCCAAACATTTGCAATTTCATGCAACAATCCGTATTCAACAATCTAACATCTAATCTTTGATGTTTAGTTGGGAGACATGGCAATTCCTTACAAAGCCAAGGGAGTAAAGAGGGAACGTCGAGAAGCCAAGAGGAACAAAGGGGATGCGGACACACAAGCTTCAAAAAAGCAGAAGGGAGAAGAAGTTTCTACCTGAGATGCCTGTCACGCTTCGCATTCACAATTTTGACTTGTAATCACAATTATCCCAACTCTAATCAAAAGATGTTTACTTTTAGACATGAAAACTTTGAAATTACAGAGAGCATTCTTGTATGAGGTTTATGATGATGGATGCGTGTGGACCAAAAGAAAGAGACTTTTTTGAGCTACTATATATTATGAGAATAGATATATGATCATGCGCAAACAAGAAGCAGCAAAACACTTTCGGTGGGGTAAATGGGGTGGGGTTTTAGCATCATATCCAACATGGTGTATGTTATCAACAACCCATGTGATAGAAACCCTAGCTTCTCTAGTTTAAAGTAGTTATGTTCTTTTGTATTGTTACAATCTATTGCAATCCCAAACCTAACTATAGATCATTAGATCCTCTCACTATCATTAGTACACTCATGGTGGTGCCTATGCACCTAAATCTATCATGGGGCATGCCACAATGTTCCATGTTTGCCTTTTTAGTTTTATTATTATTTAATTTGTAATATTGTTATTTTGCCATTTTTCATATTATGGTAAGCACAACTGCTCTATCAGGCTGGAACTTTACATGAGTCAACTTACCCTACATTAGTTGTGTATGCATTTTAAAAGTAGGAATAAGAGATTTCCAAACCTCAAGGTTGAAAATTACAATCTATACCAGTAGTCTTAATTATGTTTGATACGGAGTATATCTTTCTCATCACATGAGCTTATGAGGGGAACATCTTTATGTCTATGATAATAGAAATTTTAACTTCATTGGTCCCTATTGAGCTTTAATCTAATGTGTAAAGATAGTCTTTTACTCTATAATGGCTATTTGCATTTGATTGTATTGAGTTTGCATATACCTAGACTATACTGTTTGATTGAAAATACTGATCATTAAAGTTGATTATGTTATTTTACACCGTATATTATAAGTCATTGAAAATACTCTCACTTGTACTTTGTATTAATGAGCCTGACATATTTTCCATGTATTAATAACATATACTCTCTCTGTCCCTTTTTTATGCCCCATTGCCATTTCTGAGGTCAAACTTTGAAAACTTTGACTATAAATTAACGTTAATCTATAGAAGATAATTTAGTCATGAGTGGTCTTGTTAGATTCGTCTCATTGTATTTTTTATTAATATCGCGTTTTTATAATTTTTACGTGGAAAAAAAAATATATGTATTTTAATACACGTCTTGAAAACCGTACACATTCAAATGGGGCAAAAAGATAGGAAAAGAGACAGTAGTCTTTAACATAAATATCCTACAATAAAAGGGACAGCTACCTTGATGATGATTGATTCATTGCAGTCTCATTATATATTATGACCACAATTAGTACCTCCCTATCAGATTATTATCTTTGTTAATATTAATTAAGTTAACATCAAATCAAAATGAAATTAAATTCTCAAGGTTCGTTCTTACGAAAAAGTCTTAGACCGCACTTGACCACCATTGAAAAAGACCATGGTCAACCATACGACTGTGTCATGTTTGAATTAGTGTCCTATGCATTTATAAAGGCTACTTAAAAGTTAGACCATGTCTACCCTACCCATAATTTGTTTAGTGTATTGCATTCATTATTTTAAACTAACTGGCTATTTAATCTAATTATATATACTTGTATTTATAAATCATTTGTATTTTAAAGTGACATGATACTCCATAATATAAAATATAGGTATTATGCTTCTAAAGACTAATATTCCATAATTTAAAATAAAGGTACCGAATTTTTCGAAATATTATTAAATAAATACATATTACTTTTTTTTTTTTTTTTTTGTTTTGTTTTGTTTTGTTTATGAGTTTTTGCAAGAGCTACCGATATTGTATTTTAATAATATAATTTCAATAGTTGCACTTCCCAAAATATAAAGCACTTGATTACATTATATCTCAAGCTAAATTTTGAAAAATTGCATATTATCTTTATTGATACAAGTAACGAAAAACTTTATAAAAGGTTAACTTATACGATAATTGAGATGTATAATTATAAAGCATGTATAATAGATTAATAGGTTGATATATAATCCCTTAATCAAACCAAAATAAACTAATTCAAAAACGGAAAAAGTACTTTACGAATTATTAAGAGGAAATACTTTATACCACCCAATTTTTAAACCAACATACTTTCCAATTTCCATTCCCCAAAGCCTAGCAAATCAACTTTGCTTTTTTATCACACCACCTCTTGTAATTTGTAACACATACATTGACCATAATACCCTCATTATTATGGACTTACCAAAGCACAATTAATAATTATCATACCTTTCTCAAAAAAAAAAAAAAAAATATTATCATACCTTTTGGTACCTTTTTTACAAGTCAAAAAAATCATTACATTAAAAATCCAATTAATTAAGCAACTTTATCATTAAAATGGATGGAAATCTAATATATACATAATTAGTTTAATTACATATGTTTACTATTACTAACCAATAATTAAAATTAAAAAAAAGTCGTAAAACACAGCGCTTTACTTCCACCTTCCTAACAAACACTGAACGCCTCCGAGCATATATAGAGAGAGAAAGAGTGCGAGGTTGAAGAGAGAGAAACCACTGAAACAAGAGAGAGAAAGTTTCAAGCTCCAACAATGGCGATTATATTGCAGATCTCGAAACCCTAATTTCTCTCTCAGAAGCTAATATTTTCTCCTTGTTTTTCTCGTTAAAGAAATCATTTCTTGATTTCTGCGTTCAGTTTCAGTTCGAGATCGGCGTTTTTTGGCGGTTCGATTTCTTGGAGAGTGTCATTTTTCCTTTTGCGACACTTTACAGCGTCGATTCTTGCAGTTCTCTTCGCATTATACTTTGTTATTTTCACTTTTTTTGCATTCGATTAAACTCGCGAGAGTTTCGCATTATTCCTTCATTTTTGTACTGATAATAAGGTTTTCCGGCGGAAATTTGCCGGAATGAACTGAAAATTTGAGCTCGTTTACGCCTGAAAATAAGGTTTTCGCCGGGAAATGGACGACCGCGGTGGTTCGTTCGTCGCTGTTCGCCGAATTTCTCAGAGTTTGGACCGTGGCTCTTACCATACGAATTCCGGTACTCTCTCCATTTTCTCTCTCCTCTCTTATGTAGATAACAAGTGGAATGATGCAAATATGATTGATTCATAATTCATTGAATGTGAATTTAAAAATACGAGTAATAATTAATTAATTTGATGATACAATTGAATTTCTGATGATGTTACGCAGTAGTTTATAGTATTGAGTCAATTTGATGTTAAAAGCTGTGAGTTAGCTGGAAATTGAATGTTGAGAGAATGACTGGAGTCTTCATTATTATGTTTGGCGTCACGTTCGTCATTTACTGAGTCTTCAACAAATTATTATACATATTAATATGTATGTGGTAGGCTAACTGCTCTAACGATTTATTGAAATAAATTGTGTAATTATAGTGGAAGAATTGCTGTTGTAATGATTTTTTCTGATCATTTGTCAGCAAATTTGAGTGGAAAAAATATGGATCAACTGCACCCACCCATAGTCTTATATAGAAATGGTGATTATTTATTTTCTTTATTTTATATAAGGAAATGTTTAGTTTTATATAATTTTTTGTTGATTTGTTTGGTAGATATTCTGCTGTTGAGTGGATTATGTTTGGTTTCGTTGTTGCTCGGAACAATTAAATAAAGTTGGTGCTGGATTAGTTTGAGAAAATCAGTTGGTTGATTTTGATGTTTAATCATTTAAGGGGTTTTTGTTTTCAATTTGTGTCGAATTGATCATGTTTATTTGGGTAAATTTTAGAATTTAGTGTTTTTTAGCATTGTCTTACATCAGCGATGGTTATTGTTTGCAGCTGAAGTTGTTGCGGGATCAACAGCTTGGATAGGTAAAGGTCTTTCGTGTGTTTGTGCTCAAAGAAGAGATAGTGATGCTCGGCCATCGTTTGATTTGACTCCAACACAGGTAATTATTTTGAGATTAAAGCAGCTAACTATTTAAGTTTCCTCCTTTTTTTGTCAGTATCACTTGTACCATTGATCCATTGTTCTTAACATGACACCTTTCTCAGCTGATACCAATATGAATCTGTTGTGAAGCTTTTTCATTAGTCATGTTTCTGGTACCCATTTGCTCGTGTAAGCAATGATGTACCAGATAACAAATCTCATATTAAGACCATTTAGTTTATGTCAGAAGTGTTTTAGATTTACATTTTGGTTCATTAAATTAGAAAATTAGCTTTTTATTTGTTTCATCTGCGTTCTTTCTCTCATTTGTAGAACATGCTCATATGGAAGTTCTGATAGGATATCTGAGTTTTTTTTGTATTTGGCTCGTGTGTTTTCAGGAAGAGTGCTTGCAACGGTTGCAGAGTCGCATTGATGTTCCCTATGATAGTTCAAACCCAGAACATCAGGTACCTCCTGCCATGCCCATTGTAGAGGTTTTCTTAGAGATTTAATATAAGTAACGTGTCGATTGTGATTGGTTACTATATTTTTCGTCTTCTCAAGCCTGTTTAGCTAACATTAACATGTAAATTGAGAGTAATGCTGTTACTGACTCTAGTTTCTTGGTGGTGATTTTCGAAGGAAGCTTTGAGGGCATTGTGGAATGCTTCCTTTCCTCATGAAGAACTTCATGATTTGATATCTGAACAATGGAAGGAGATGGGATGGCAAGGGAAAGATCCATCCACAGATTTTAGGTATCTCAGCATTCTTTTGTTCAGTCTTCCTCTGTTTTGCTAAATCATAGTACTTAACTTAATTTTCAATGTTCAACAGGGGTGGTGGCTTCATATCACTGGAGAACTTGTTGTTTTTTGCTAAAAATTTTCCGGTATGTTATCATTTTCCTTTCTTTCCACTTTAGACATCAGATTGCTGTCTCTATTCAGTTTACTTTAAAAACATTACTAACATTTATGTGTATATCATTGTAAATTTGTTTATCTTTGTTAAGACTTTCAGTCTGGATTTATTGAGTTAGATATGGAGAAGTTGGCCTTTCCTTAGTTGCCTTGTCATGGTATTTTGAATGATGAAGGCATTTAATGATTAGAATTGTTTGTATATATCTTGGATAGTTCTGAATGCTACAATATCAAATTCTCTTTGACTTTTTGGCCATGGTATCATTTTAACTATCTTTGACTCCTTGTTATGGTATTTTGACACTTCATTCTGTATCCCCCCAGTTGTTCTAGTTAGGGGGAGGTTATTTTATGGCATTTTAATAGATATGGTACAAATGGTACAAGATCCTATTAAAAAGCAGATATTGAGGGTATTCTTAAAACCAAATAAAAAGGTGTGAATGATAGTGCATGTTGATGAGAGTGGGAACTAGTAATCGCATGCTTGGAAATATCAGGCTATTAAGTGCAGTTTGTCACAAGGGCACTCACGCACATGAGTTATTTTAGTTATTATTTTGTGATGGACTATGTGATATTTTGGTGTGCAGTAGTTTGGGAATGCCACAAGAACACTTCCACTCTAGTTCTAGGCTCCAGTCCATGAACGAAATTGAATTAAGAGCTGTTTGATTGTGAAAGTATTCTAGGATACTCATCTATGAAGAATTGGCGCACACTTGTATAATGCAATCAACTTAGAGGGAGATAGTTTAATTACAGGCTTGTCATTTTTAAATTATGATGAATATATTATCATGGGGTTTACTCTGGGTTCTTTTGAAGTTCAATGCACCCTTTTTGTCATCAGCTTTTCTCAATGTTGTTTGATGTATATTAGTTATTTCTTACCACCTGTGAACTTAATGTCAAATTAGTCATATGGGGAGATTTATCTATGATTAGAAAGATGGAACATCATTGCATGTCTATACTCTATAGTCTATACACAAGCCAGTTTTAGCCATCTCACAGCTCAAATTCACTTCCCTTTCTGCTTTTTACTGTTTGTAATATGTATGCTGACATGCATTATCTGCTTGTGTTATCTAGAAATCCTTTCAGGACCTTCTGCGTAAGCAGGAGGGAGATCGGGCTATGTGGGAATACCCATTTGCTGTAGCAGGTGTGAATATTACCTTCATGCTGATCCAGATGTTAGATCTTGAAGCAGGTGCATTTTCTCTATAAATTTGAATTTTGTTATTAGCGGTCTGGATTTACAGGTTCTGATTCTTGTATTCATTATTCTGCTACTTGAAGAGAAATCACTCTGTACTTTTCATTTGACGTTTATAGTTTTTGGCCTTGCAATTTCAGATGTTTTATCTAGAATGAGTTATATGATTGCTCTATATTGGCATTTAAAAAGGTTTCTTCTTCGCAATGTTGTTGTAGAGCAATGTGACATGGTATTGGACATATATATTTCATGTACCATAGGATTTGGTGGTGCCACTCTTAGTAGAGTTATATAAATGGATACTTAAAATTTATCCTAGATACGTGTCAATGCTTTGGGTATATAAACAATTATGTTCAATATAGAGGACTTTGGCCTTTCTCCTTCGATAAGTTGGTGTCTGAAATTTTGTATATATTCATCTGTTTGGACACTGCATCTGCACTATAGCTCCTGAATAAATGTAGAATCCATAGTTTATCTGTGATGGTTAATCAAAGTAGGTTCTCACTGCAAACTTTCTAATTGTGCTGATAAACCGTGCTTCATTGATCCAGTCAAGCCACGAACACTGGTGGGAGCAATTTTCCTAAAATGCCTATCTGGTAATTTCACCTCCCTTTACAAACCACCTAATTTTTATGGGATATTGATATCTTGTGTGATCGGTGTTACTTAGATGACATTGCCTATTCCTTTTCCAGAAAATGACTCAGCATTTGATCTGCTCTATTGCATCACCTTCAAGCTGCTTGACCATCTTTGGCTTGAGATGCATGCTTCGTACATGGACTTTAATGTAAGTTCTCTTCAGCAAAAATCTTGCAGTAGTTGAAAAGGTGGTCTTTTGCATTTGTATTTTTCATCTCTAAACTCATTTATTTTTCAATTGCCTTGGCCTAAAGCTCTATTTTGCTCTTTTTTGTACTTCTCCGTCTTTGAACCCAGCCAACTTGCAAGCTTGCTATTACTATCAGAGAGTTTTCCGTTATTGTATTTCCTATGAGGAATAAATATCATTGATTATGTTTTAAGGTCTTGGGATGCTTGGTTTTGGTCTATCTTTTACTGTACTGACTGAACTTTGTTTAAGTTGGTTCTAGTTCGCTTGAATTCTGTGATGTTTGCTTATCATATTTTTTTTGTATCTTTGTAGGCGGTGATGAAGGCTACACGCCGTCAGCTTGAGAAAGAAATGATGCTTGAGGATATTATTCGGCTTGAAGACCTGCCATCATATAGTCTTCTCTCTAAATAGGTAGCTTTCAAGAGAACTAAGATGAACGTTAGATGCAAGATGTTGGAAACCTTTATTCTCTTATTGAAATAGTCCATTCCTTCCACGGGAAATCCTGTCTTTGATACCTAACTGGATGGTGCTGGTCCTAGAAGATTTGGTGTGCCATCTTGAAACCCGGATTCATTGTCAATTTGATTTTAGGAGTGGCTTTTGTAAGCACCACACAGTCATAAATCAGCAGTTCTAGTACCTAACTGAATTGCTATAGGTGTGGCCAGTTTTATCTTGTCAATGAAAATATGCCATTTTTAGGGCTTGGGTTTTCTTAATCAGATGTTCTCGTCGTCGCTAGTTAGTGCGTTTTTCTTAGTATTTTCAAGAGGCAAGAATGTTAATGTTCAATCTCCTGGAAGAAGCAGAAGCAGCTAGCAGAGCTTCACTCTCTGGTCAGATTGGCGAGTGGTAATGGTGATTTGGAGACACTAGCTCAGGGATTGAGTTTATCTTTTCTATCATGCTTTGATGGGAAGGTGTGAAAGGTAGATCGAACTGTCAAGCTCTTAACTTTCTAACCATAGGACTATAGGAGCATCTCTTGATTCTTAATCAGAATTCTTTGCTCATTCAGAAATATTAAATTCTATGTTGTCCTTGCATGTTGAAGTGTGAAGACTGTGTGAATGTTAATCATTTAGCTAAGAATATTAATAATAGGCCTAACTATACTACGAGTATTTTTATTTATTGTTGGTTATTTTGCAATGCAAGAATTGTGGGTCTGTAGGATGGGGGGATTGAATGCGTGTTTCTTCATTGTTAGGGCTCGCATCTAGCTTGACCCAAGTTTAGGGCCTCAGGCTTCGAAACACAGACACGCTTCTCAGAAACACCACTGTGAAGAGGTAATAGAGGAAGGGCATGCTGAGATTGGTGTTGCGTGAGGGGTGAGGGGTGAGGGGTGATTTGTTGACCTGTTCAAAACTGCAGAGCTTGATAACAAAGAAAGCCAATTCGGTGCTGGAGTCCTGTGTTTCGGTATGCAATGAGAATACGAGACTGCGATGATACAGATCTGTTACCATCAGATACCTACTGTAGTTTGTAACAGAACCTTGACAAAAACAGAAACTTGACAAAAACAGAAACTAAATCAACCTGCCACTATCACATTGATTCTTGCAAACATGTAATCCGTATATCACTTAATTTTTCTCCCGTCCGACTTCATAAATCATAACATTGTGCCAAAATTTCTTCCTTCAATCATCACAAATTTCACAAATCGTGAACTTTTATCGCCTTTCTACACTTCCGAGAAATTACCCAAATCATTGCTGGAAAATCTAGCAGATCGGATACTTGCATTCAGGACTACTCTAAAAACTAAAGATAAACCTGATGTCGGCACATCCCCAGAAAGTGGTATATATCAACCAGTAAGGCGACAACCAACAAGCATCATTCTGGTATATTGGTATATCCGTATATATGCTGCATTTTGAAAATGAATAATGATAGAGGCAAAGTGATTGCACACTTTAGCTCAAGAGCTGGCTATATTTTTTCCAGGCTTCGACAGGAAGGTGCAAACCAACCTTTCAACTTCGAACCACTCAAATATATCGGCAAAAAATGGATGGATAACAATTTTTCTTGTAGCGTTATACAGCACATTTTGAATACAGGAATAATGGTCTTTGAGGGCTCAACAACTCGTAAGTGAAAGATGGGAACCGCGTGAACTGATCATATCCAATGAACTCACAACTGTCGTCCAGGTAATGATGCTCGACGCAGGGAGTCAAGGGAATAAATTGGCAAAGATTATAGGTGCCTAGCCCACCGTGCTGTTGAGATGAATAACTGACACAAGGAAACACTAAAAAACTGTGCTTAGAAAGCTTACAAGGACCGCAGAACTCAAGTCCTTAATTAGTTAATCTGATGTTCTCTTAATCTCTTAGATTATGTTGGTACTCTCTCCCCGTCCCACAATATATTTCCTGTTTTTCCTATTTTAGAAACCCAAAATGTTGTTCCCATTTCTATTTTTGGATAATATGTAAAGACCATTATACCCTCATTTTTTTATCTCTATTCATTGTACTTCCTAATTTATCCTTGAATTTTGCACATGTCTACTTTTTTCCGCTTAATTTTCACTTTTTTTTAGTGTACTTCATCCACTTTCTACCCCCATTTCTTAAATACCGTGAAAAAACACAAACGGAAACTATATACTGGGACGGAGAAAGTACAATAGGAATAAAATCTAATTTAGGAAACTATACTACTTCGTACCCCGCCCCCCCCCCCCCCCCCCTCCTACAATACTAAACTGAATTTATGCTTCTGAAAACTCAACTACTCTAGTTTGGAGGAAGTAATGATGGAGGTTAGTTTTGTACGAACAAAAACATAACAATATTAAAATATAATAAAAGTACATAGAAGAAAGATTAAAGAAAAAAAAAAGTGTTGTGGACCCCATTTCACATAAAAAGAGATAAAATAGTGATGGGACCACACTTTGACTGTACCATTGAAAGCTTATAAAATACTATTGGAATTTTTATTCAAGTACTACTGAGAGTATATTTAGTAACACGTAAAGCATTTATAGTGTCACTAAATATACAATGGTATTATTTGACTAATTAAATGAGGACCACACTCTATTTGTACTATTGAAAGTTTATAAAATACCCCTGAGAGTATATTTAGTGCCAGTACAAGCATATGTAATACAACTAAGATTACTATTTAATCATCCAATGATACCACGTGAGTGCTGATTAGGATTTTTCAAATTTCATGTGAAAAGACTCTCATACCTCTCCTTATGCATTTCTATATACCTCGCTAACTTCCCTTCGAAAGCTCTCCTCCAGTTTGTACTATTCGTACTAAAAACCACTACAACTCTTAAATATATTTACTCGTGTGCCTTTATATTTTATTTTTTGTTACTTTTGCATTAAAAAAATTTCAATTGTTAATTAGTCATTCGAGTATTCTTTGCCCAAACAAAATCCTACTGTTCGTCCCCGTACAAGCTTGTTTGAGTTTGTTAGCAAACCTTTTACTTAGTTTGTAATAGTTCTGTTGATTAAGCATGTCAAATTAAAAAAATAAAAAAAATAAAAAATAAAAAAAATAAAAAAAAAAGGAAGAAGAGAGAGAAGTTGTTCATCCAACAATCTGGCCAATAAATAGAAGCTTTTCTAAGTCTATACTACGTATTTTGAAAGAGAGGTGATAGAACGAATAAAGGTTATTTTTAAACTTTTTATCCGGGTTTTTAGTCTTTTTACAGCTCTGGATGAAGAAACACCAAGACATTAAAATTAAATATTAAGATGTCAGCTCGCAAACACCTTGCATCAACCATTTATAGAGCAAAAATAAATTAGTATGTCATCAAATGCTCCTGCAAAACACATAGTAACACAATAAACAGAACACCGCAATCAAAAGAAGCTGTCTAATAAGATTAACCAACACCAAAATGTCTAATTTGGCAAATATGTTTTCTCAAGATAATAGCAACTCTTAGATAGTCAAGTTCCACATGGAGGGTTGGCAAGTAAACCATATTAAGCAGGTATAGATCTATTCATAGATCCATGAGTGTAGGCTGCTTTGCCAGTGAACAACTCCCTCGGGGAACCAAAGAGCAATCTCCTTTGTTGCGCTGTCAACAGCATCACTGCCATGGATGACATTTCTGCAGAAATCATAGATTCATCGATTAACAATAGCACGGGAACAATAAAGTAAATCATAGGGTTGAAAATAAAAAAATTAGCTACCTCCCCCGTAAAAAAGAGGAAAAAACACATAAGTGATTAATCTTGAACTACATTGATACAAAGCTCCAACTTTAAAAGGAATGTACAATTAAAGGTCAAGGAGATACAGGACAATCAAGAGTCTTCTTGGTAAAAATGACAATCAGACAAAAGAGTCCTTTCGACAGTTTTGTTCAATGATTACACCTCGAATAAAGGGGAATTTTAGTTTTCACACAATATAATTGCCGTTCATGCATCAAGACCCCTGTGTCGGTCAAAATTAAGAAATGATCATTAATCCAAATCTACTTTAGTGTACAACTCTTACTGTGCCTAACAGCATATTTATTCATGTAAAAGTGCAAAATTATATTGCATTGATTTGTAAGCAGTTAGCGCTACAAGTGACACGATGAAAGGAAAATCAAAACACACAACATTTCATTGATAAGCATTTAAATATAGAATAACATTTTCTATCCGTACGTATAGACTACTTTCTGATAGTCAGTCAAATATGATTGTGGCTAAATTGTTTGGAGCTGTTTCTTTAAGCAGAGAGGACTATCAATCATCACAGAAGTCACTACTATACCTAGTACATCAGGTAAAACACATTAAAGACAGCATAATACTCATAAAATATCCAGCACAAACACACAGGAAATACTTCAAAATCGAGTTACTAAGCAAATATTAATGCATAGGCAATTTAAGTACCTGCCAATGTCGATGGCAAAATCACCACGGATGGTTCCTGGCTCGGAAGCAAGTGGGTTGGTGGCTCCAATGAGCTTCCTTCCGGTGGCAACAACACCCTTACCCTCCCAGACCATAGCAACCACTGGCCCGGAAACAATGTACTCAACCAAACCGTTGAAGAAGGGCTTGGCAGACAAGTCAGCGTAGTGCTTCTCGGCAAAAGGACGGTCCACATTCACAAATTTCAAAGCTACACAGACCAAACATCATTCAATAGACAGCCACATCAACCAAAACTTAAGCTTTTAACATCAACCAAAACTAGATCATTCCCAATCCCATTTACATAGCTTAATTCGACTAACAAGCATGCAATGATTCATGAGATAGCTTCTCCTTCATCAGATTGGTTCCGGATTCGAGTCTTGGTCAACTCATTATTAATATTGAAATCAGACATGGGGCAGCAATTAAAAAACATAATTGTATTCTTGGACACAATTATAGGCATCAAATAAACACACTTTTGAGCTAATATCATTAGTTTAAGCAACATATTAACCTTGAATTAACCTTGCAATTATTTACATAATACTGAAGCAGAGGAGATATTTGTTTGAAGGTCCAAGTTTGTAAAATTCAGATCATACCTTTCAAAGAGAAACCCTTCTTCTCAAATCTGCTGATGATCTCACCAACCTACACATTTAAAAAACGATTTCAGAATCACAACTCACAATCTGACACTAAAATCTTCCAACTCTGTATTTTACAACCAAATTAAACAAGAAAAGCTTATTATCTCAAAAACCCAGTTCAAAAATCAATCAACCCAGTTAAATTTGCCATTAAATCAATGATTAATCAAGTTTAACAACCCAATCAAGCAGCAAAAAAATCAAATTGAAACTTTAACAACCCAAATAAGCAGCAAAAAAATTTGGAAAAATTGAATTAAAAGGGTGAAAATTGAAACTAACCAGTCCTCTTTGGACGCCATCAGGCTTGATCATGATGAAAGTTTGCTCCATTTTTGAATTGGCGTTTAAGATTCTTTGAAAGATGTAGAGATTAAAGATGGAATAATGGTGGAGAGTAGAAAATGACGGAAAGAAGAGTATATATATGAGAGAGAGTGGGAAGCAAATACAGAACCCTAACCCTAGTTTAAAATTGGAATATCCCTTATGCGATTTTTTTATTTTTATTTTTAAAACAAAAATTGTGAAAATTTGGAGCGATTTGTTT